TCTTGGGAACAACAGCTTGGAGTTGCTCTTGAGGGCCAGCTAGATCAGAGGCAAGGAGATCCCTGCCTGGATCATCCCAGCATTTTTTAAAAAATCTAATAAGCTGCCAGATAGGTCTCCACGTGGAACAGAGGGTTGCCTTTTATTTTCGTGGCTAATAACAATGCTGTCCAGAGGGAAGGGGGCATGGTACATCCTGAGGAAAGCCATTGCAAGCCGCCTCTGCCTTGAAAGCTCCTTGCTGTTGTGACTTGATGGCACATATGTATGTAATAACAATGCTGTTAACATTCACAGCATACCACAAAAAACCACTTCATTTCACCACAACCCACAAGCATGCTAAGGAATTCTGCAACAGTTCCACAAGAAGTAACCATTATTGATAGATGTTGCTGAGCTGTGCTTGCTGAAACATTAACCCAAAAACCAGACATATGCAGACTCATTTTTTGTGTAGAGTTTCTATTAAGGATAATTTGTTTCTCCAGGCTGTTGGCCCTCCCTACCAGTCTCACCCAGAGTTGCAAGACTTGGACCAGCAAATGCCAGGAGATTTCAGAGGCAGCGCCTAGAGTGGGTGGAGTTTCAGGCAACGTGATGCCACATTCTTTGTGACGCTCTAGGAATTTATCCAATCTCTATGGTAAAGATCATAGGGACTGGTGAAATTCCTAGAGCATTAAGAAGAATGTGATATTGGGTAGGGTTACCAATCTCCAGGTGGTAACTGAAGATCTTGGGGAATTACAAATGATCTCCAGGCAAGAGAGATTAGTTCCCCTGGAGGAAATAGCAGATTTGGAGGGCAGATTCTGTGAATTCATATCCCCACTGAGATCCTGCCCCTCCCTAAAGGAGAAGAGAAGAGATAAGTGAGTCTCAGAGCGGCTTACAAACTCCTTTCCCTTCCCCTCCCCACAACAGACACCCTGTGAGGTAGGTGGGGCTGAGAGAGCTCTTTCAAGAACTGCTCTTTAGAGAGCAGCTCTGAGAGAACTTGTGACTGACCCAAGGTCACTCAGCAGCTGCATGTGGAGGAGTGGGGAATCAAACTCAGTTCTCCAGATTAGAGTCCGCTGCTCTTAACTTCTACACCAAACCAAATTCAGCCTTCCCCAGGCTCCACCCCCAAATCTCCAAGAATTTCCCAAGCCAGAGATGGAAACTGAAATATACTGGGTTCAGACGCATTCAAGTGATCAGCTCATAGTTTATTAGTGATTCAGCAAGAGAAAGAAGACTGAGAAACCCCTGACCAAAGCCAGGTATTTATGCTTGAAAAAGGTTACACCCAAAACACACCCCACTCCCAAGTATAGGCTATTTACACTACATTGTTTCCCAGCTGGGTTACTCTTTGATCCCTGTCACCCTACTGGCCCTTTCTAGGATCCTAGCAAGCTATTGTTATGTATCCCCAAGCTAAGTCCTTTTGCAAGTACAGTTCAGGCTCAGTACATAACAGAAACCCTAGACTGAATGGAAACCCTAGACAGATTCACCCTACCTACACGGGGGAGGGTTATAACATTGTGACTTTCATTTAAATAATGGGTGGTGGCTTTTAGAATAGGAGGTTTCTGATTTTAACAAATGAGAGGTATTTGGCGGTTGTGGGGTACCTAGACTCAACCCATCTCACTTGTTGAGCTCTACTCACCTTAAATTCCCCACAATTCAAGTCTGATTTTTCATGATCATTCTTAAGTGATTAGGGTGGGGTACAATAGCTACAATGGCTGTGACAATTAAAAAAAAAGGTCCTCCAAAGGAACTCATTCTGCTTTATAGCTGTGAGAACTGAAAGGCCTTTAAAAGAAGCAAATTGCGATTTCTGTAGAGGTCTAAATGAAAGTCTCTAGCCTTATAAATAACTGACCTCATTTGATATATACAAACAAGGCATTAAAATAAAAGCACATAGATAAGGGCTGCTGAAAGGAAGTCTAGATATTTCTATGGGTTAGGAGGAAAGCTACAGCCCTGGACTTACCTGGGGCCATGTTTGCGGCTCAGGGCTGGGAGCAGGAAGAAGGAGGCCTTTCCACCAGCTCCATGCCAGCAACATGTGGTTTCGGGGGGGGGGAGCTGCAGAAGCCTGGCCAACAACTGACTCTCCTCTCAACCGACTTGGCATGCATGGTCCCAGCACCGGTCTTCACCACCCCTCCCCTACTTAGACTAGCCGCTGCTGGGGCATGCCTCTATTTGGCACCAGCTATCCCTCCCTCCCACCCCTTGCATTCTTGATTGTTACGGACTGCATTTTGGTTTACTTTGTTCTGTTCTCTATAGTTATCATGGCTGGTGGTTTGGGCATTGGGACAGATCCATTGGGGGGGAGGTGGTGTCCACAAACCATTCTGGGGACTCCCTTAAGGGGTCTTGGGGGGTGGAGCCGTTCAGTGGGCTGTTGGATGGCTCTCACCACCAGCTGGCAAGGGAACCAGTGAGATCGTGGGGCTTGCCACTCTGTGGTTCCCCCCCCCCAGCAGTCAGGCTGGGGAATGGGGTTACATCGGGTGGCAGGCAGGTTGCCCAATGCTGGATCCGTCCCCATGCTGTGCCAACACTTTTGTGGTTGTATGCAACACATCCATGGCCTATTTCCCCCAATTAGTTTGTGTGGTGGTTCTTCTTCCTCACCCTCACTCTCTCCCTTGCCTTTGAGACCACAATCACTTGTTTTCTAGGCTTTTCCTGATAATGTGGCAGCTCCAGCTAGTGAAGAAGTCTGGCTGTGTCTCTACTCTTTATCTAAAAAATTTCCTTAAATTCCCCCAAGATCAGGGGCAATACAGATACCAAAGAAGTTGGGATGTGTTAAAGTAACCACGTGATACATTTTCTGTCTCAGAGACAAATAAACATTGTTCCCTCTAAGATGAGTTAGTGTGAGTTAGCTCACAGTTTTTTAGCCTCCAGCACACGCATTTTTGTCTTAGCTCAGGAAGTATGGTTCCAGGACAAACCAATTTATGCAGTAGCCAAATCACTCGCTCACAACTTTAATGCCAATAGCTCACAGAGTAGAATTTTTGCTCACAAGACTCCACAGCTTAGAGGAAGCATTGCATACAACTGCCACGTATTCTCTGTCAGTCACACTCTTTCAGCCCTAACCTACCTCGCAGATTTGTTCTGAGAAAAAAGGAAGGAGGCAAGGGAAGAGGATAAAAATGGGACAGACAAAATGCATCTTCCCCTGAAGCGCTCACCATCCCAGTTACTAAATCTATTGGTTGTTCCTGAAGAGCCACTAAATTGCTTGCCTATGGAAGATGCCAAATCATTTCTAATGTGGTATTTCTAATTTTAATGTAGGTTTTTCTGGCGCAAATCCCCTCACATAGCAGAAATAGAACTCAACTCCATTTCCCTCTTCTGGCCAAGCCTGCCATCTGGAATAGATGCTGCCTACGAAAGTTATGAAAAAGACCAAGTTTTTCTTTTTAAAGGTAATCACTGGCAATTCTCAAATTATGTTGCCGTATAACGTTGCTGGATTTAAGGTATGACACATTCGCCCCTTTCACATTACCTTCTGTACCAAATGTTATCCGTTGTTGGCTCTGTTCCAAGTTAAGAGATACAGGGACAGGTGTTTCATACAGCGACTTTCATCCCATTAATGAGCCATTTGTGAAGCACGGTGGCCATTTTAAACAGTGCCACTTCCCCCGCCCTTTTTTGCCGTGCAATTTTCCTCACCCTTACCCCCCCCCAGCATTCTAAATTAAGCACTACAGCGCTAAACCAATGTAGTCTCTCAATAGCATCAAGGCATCTCAATAGTACCGCTACAACACTGAAGTGCTATATTGATTTAACATTATAACTCTCAATTTAGAATGTTTGAGGATCGAAGCAGAGGGCAGGGTAAAGAAGGGGGCGGGGCTTCACCACGTGACCGCCCCGCCCCCTAGAGGTTCTCTTCCGGAGCTCCGTACCTGAGAGCTCCCCCCCGACTAGAGCCCTGGATTTAACATTATAACTCTCAATTTAGAATGTTCAGGGTGGAAGGGCGAGGAAGATCGTGCGGCAAAAAAGGGCGGGGGGAAGCAGCATTGTAGGAAGTGCTACGGACATTTTAAACAGCACACCACAGTGATTCAGAAGTGCAACAAAGAGGTGAAAATGGAAGAAAGCAGTTCCCTCAAAAACGGCTCAGCCCTGCTTTGCTAACAGGACACAAGCGGCTTTGTATGAACAGGTAAATAAAATCCATTAGTAGCCAGTCACTAAAACAGTTGTGTCTAAACTGACACAAAAAAATCCATTAGCAACCTGCTACTAAAACAGAATACAAAGGCTGTCTGAAAGGGACCAAAGTAAGTAACTGAAGAATGTAGCCATCATTCCAAGTGCCCAGGATGGATCCCTTCCCTTTAGTCAGGCTCCATCCCTGACTGACCTCACCATCTGGTAAGATTGCCAGGCTATGCCTGAAAACTGCCAGGAGCTTGGGAGCAGGGACATGGGGTGGGAGGAGCACTGGCATCATGTGTGCCATGACATTACTTCCAGGGGAAAAACAGAAATAATGACACGTTGCTCTAGGAACTGCGAGGAATTCTATGGTAAAATCATAGAGTTTCCTCCAGTTCCTTGAGCAACAGGACATTACTTCTGGAGTTTCCCTAGAAGTAATTGTCATGCCATACACAACACTGACAGTGGTTTGTTTTTTAAATCTTCCACTGCTGCTCAGAGTGGTGGCAGGTGACGAGGGCGGCCAGCGGGAAGTCTCCCACCACACTGGGAAACCTGGCAGCCCAGCTGTCCAACATGAGAAAAAAGCATGCTCCCCCACACACATACACATGTGCATGCTGTGGTTTTGGGCCTTAAAGTGCAAGGCCAGGGAATGCAGGACAGGGCATGGAAAAACTGCCTGATTAGTCAGCTTCACTCCTGGCTTCCTTATTGACAAAGATAGCAACCAACTAAGTAGACTACTTCTCGCAGACATTTCATACCAAGCTAACTCTTGTACAGTTAGAGGCAAATGTGGCAGAAAACATTTAATTTTTCTTTTCTTTTCAGGAAACAGATATTGGGCTCTAAATGGCTATGACATTGTACGTGGCTATCCTAAAAGCATCACCCAGCTGGGCTTACCCCAGCAAGTTAATCAAATTGATGCTGCATTCAGTGATTCAGAGACTGGGAAGACCTATTTCTTCGTAGGTAGCAAATACTGGAGGTACAGTGAAATTTTCTGCATTGATAATGTGTTATATATTCAGGACAGAGCAAAGGATGTTTCTTTCAGAGACACTAGATTTCCCATCAATATTTCACTGATAGTTCATCAATATTGCTTAGGCGTTTATTCAAAGTGGTGTGGCCGTGCCTTAATTTTACCCCCAGTCAAACTGAACCAGGACAGACAACCTGAGGTTGCAAATATGTTACCGCCCCTATAATTTTCAAAGTACTGTTTTTATTTAACAATATGGTTTTAAGTTAAACAAGAGTTTTAAATGTAACCATTTATATTCATCGGGAAATTGCCTGGTGAAGAGCAAATGATCTCAGGTCTGATCCAACATGGCTTCTCTTATGTTCTTATAGACAGCTTCAAGAGGGGATGGGATAAACGTATGGAACAGAGGTCCATCAGTGGCTATTAGCCACAAAGTATAGATGGAATGCTATGTCTGGTGCAATGATGCTCTGTCTTCTTGGTGCTTGGGGGGCAAGAGTGAGAGGGCTTCTGGAGTTCTGGCCCAGCTGGTGGACTTCCTGATGGCTCCTGGGTTTTGGCCACTCTATGACACAGAGTGATGGACTGGATGGGCCACTGGCTTGATCCAATATGGTTTCTCTTATGTTCTTAAGTATAGACTTCTTTGTTGTAGGCTCAGTGAGAAAGGCAGACTATAAATAACATAAATAAATAAAAATAAAGTCATTTTCAGCATGAAAACCTTACTGAATCATTTTTGCTTGTCATTCTGTTTAGGCTGGCTCTGATTGTCATCACAATCAGTGATGGAAATAAGATTTTCACATCGCTTCATTCTCTTTGGTGCGACTGGAAAAAGTCTCCTTTTTTGCAGCCCTCTTTAAAATTGTAGTTATGTCCTCTTTTTCAGATATGATGAATACAGGCAATCCATGGAAAGGGGATACCCCAGAAATGTAGCCCAAGACTTCCCAGGAGTTGGCCCCAAAATTGATGCTGCTGTTATGTATGATGGTATGGGTTGTTGTTTTTTTAATGATCGATACAATCTGCATTATGCAATTGGTACTGATTTGGAATTCAGCATGCTTGAAAGAATCGCATTGTTAACATTTTGTAACTGAGATTAGAAAAGCAGTGAGGAACGTAAACAATGAACCATGAGTATGGAAAGGACAATCATTTTTCAAAAGGCTTTCTCAGAGTGCAAAGAATATTGGCGGCGTGTTTAAAGAACCTCCAGTCTGAACCCCGAAATTTAGCTGCAAAACCACATCATGCCCTTCCACACAACCAGTTGTTGCTTGGACATTTTTCAGTACATGATCATGTAAAGAATGAAGGAGCTATGTGGTTCTCCATATGCTTGAGAAACATTAGATAGATAGATAGATAGATAGATAGATAGATAGATAGATAGATAGATAGATAGATAGATAGATAGATAGTGTTATGTATTCATAGTGACCTGAATGCATTGCACTGGTGTGTGTGAATCATTGCATTAACTTGTAATGAAAAGCTTCGGCCTGGTCTAGGATCCTAATGTAACCAATAGGAGCACTAGCCCAGGATGTGTCATCCAATCACCTTACAGAGCGGGAGCGCTTGTGATTGGTCATTATCTGTTCAACCTGATAGGTTGTTATTTGTACAGTGGGTGTGGCTACATTAGCCGGGAATGTTTAAATACAGAGCAGCTGCTATGTTAAAGCTGTTCTGGCTGACTGATGTTGTACCGTGTTGGAGAAGTACTGAAGCTGAAGAATAAAAGCCGCATTCTTGCTGAAATCACTCTCTGACTCTTGTTAAGCCCACGACTTAACAGATAGATAGATAGATAGATAGATAGATAGATAGATAGATAGATAGATAGATAGATAGATAGATAGATAGATAAGACAGACAGACAGACAGACAGACAGACAGACAGACAGACAGACAGACAGACAGACAGACAGACAGACAGACAGACAGACAGACAGACAGACAGACAGACAGACAGACAGACAGGCAGACAGACAGACAGGCAGACATATTGATGGCCTTTTACTATTCCAAAAACACCCGAAGACTAAACTACACTGAGCTCTGGTCTACTTCTGCAGTCTTACTGCAACTTGGAAGGAAAACAATATTGGTCTACAGTACACAGTCTAAATCTACATAACAATCACAGTATCCATCTGCATAGCATAAGCTTTTGCTTTGTTTTCTATGGAGGGCTGGTCGGGCAGGAGAGAGAACTGTTTAAACTTTCTTTATTTCTGTTTCTCTTCTAGGGTACGTCTATTTTTTCCAAGGAACACAACAGATCCAGTTTGACCTTAATAGCAAAAGAATTGTTCGAGACGATCAAAGAACCAATGCCTGGCTGAACTGTTAAGGCATCTCTGCTCAATTCTATTTCACATGCCTAATCTTTCTTTAGAGACATGATGATTCCTCTTTTGTTGGGCATTCAAAGATTACACCTGACATTCTTCTCATACCCTACAGCAAGTTCCGGCTGAATTGGTGCTATAAAATGTTTTGGCAATACACTGTGTTGTGACAAGGTTTATTCTGCCAGTTCCATAAAGCAATTTTTAACATAGCTCTGTGTATTTCTTTCATTATGACTTCCTAACAATGCTGTACAGCCAAGATTGTACCACTCCACAATCTCCACCTGGGCAATACCTTAAGGATACAGTGAAAGAATTAAATAAATCCATGCTTTTGACAGTCTTTTGGCTAGTTTGCACATGCATGACTCAGTTATGTGCTGTTGGATTACTTTTCGCCAGAAGTATGAACTGGATTGTCATGGCAGTGTGGTGAATTTTCAGGTGGTAGAAACCATGAGATTTTTTAAAAAAAAATTGTGCGAATATACTACACTTGATAAATCCTGCATCCTCTTTTCATCCTTTTAGTTATTTGTGGATGTTAGAGGACTAGCTCCCATCCCACACTATTCCATGACAGGGTAAACTCATATAATCAAGTGGATAGAGAATTATTCAGGAATTTGGTCTAAACATATTTGGTAAATTCTCTGTAGGCTAGTCACCTGTGAGATAAATTCTACTACTGCTTATAAGTTCACTCCCACCTTCCTCAGGTGCACATGGAGGTACCCTTCATCTCCCTCCTGTAGTATCACTTAAGAATATATTGTTTCAGAGAGATAGAGATAGCTATAACCTTCCAGTCTACTGTATAAGAGTAGAACAGAGAAGTTCTCTTTAAGTTTCCCAAACATTTGTAAAAGATTATTGGAGCAAATAACATAAAACACCTGAGAGCCAGTTTGGTGTAGTGGTTAAGTGCGCTGACTCTAATCTGGGAGAACTGGGTTTGATTCCCCACTCCTCCACTTGCATCTGGCTGGATGACCTTGGGCAAGCCATAACTCTGGCACAGCTGTTCTTGAAAAAGAGCAGTTTCTGTCAAGAGTTCTCTCAGCCCCACCTACCTCACAGGGTGTCTGTTGTGGGGAGGGGGAGGGAAAGGAGTTTGTAAGCCCCTCTGAGACACCTTTGGGTAGTGGAGGGTGGGGTATGAATCCAATCTCTTGTTGTTGTTGTTCTGCCCCTTAGCTTTCAACTGCCAAGGCTCACCTAAATTCCCAGTTGGGAGCTCCTTTAAATTTCACCATGGGGGACTGATTCTGGTTGGGAACACCACAGCATAGGGAAGGAGGGGATCCTTCCCTCCCAATTTTTCCTCTCCCAAATGGCTCTGGTGGTCATGGCCAAGCCAGTCACCACTGAGTCCTCCTCCATCAGGGGACATGACTGTGAAAGAGGACAGGACCCTTTCCAGGGATGTTTTGGTTTCCAAGCCCACCCCTGCTCCCACCCGTAGCTTTGCTTTACAGAAATCAAGGGTTTGCGGCCTACAAAATGGTACCTGAGAGCTCAGTGACATTTGGGTTGGCAAGCTCCCACTAGAGGCAGGGGGTCGTCTTAGTTGAGTGGTGGGAGAAAAGTAAGAGAGAAATGTGGGATGATCACCAGCATCTCAACCTGCAGACATCATTTCTGGTGCTACCAGAAGTGATGTCAGCATGTTTCCAGCGATGCTTTAGCATTTAATTAAAACTCTATGGTTAAGCCATAGAGTTTTGGCAGAATATTAGAGCATCACCAGCAAAGTCATTCTTATGTCACAGGCAAGCCGTCCCCAGCCATGAGTCTCCCGTGGATTGGCAGCTGGCAGTCTTAATGGCACTCTCTTCTTAAAGCAGCAGACATTGTTTCTTTTATTTGGGGAAGCTTTAAAGTAAAGGTAAAGGTTCCCTTGCTCGAAAGCCAGTCGAATCCGACTCTAGGGTTGCGGTGCTCATCTCCGTTTCAAAGCCGAAGAGCCAGCGCTGTCCGAAAACGTTTCCGTGGTCATGTGGTCGGCATGACTAAACACCAAGGCGCAAGGAACGCTGTTACCTTCCCACTGAAGTGGTACCTATTTATCTACTTGCAATTTCTTGCTTTCGAACTGCTAGGTTGGCAGGAGCGGGAACTAGAGACGGGAGCTCACTCCGTCATGCGGCACCCTTGGTCTCGAACTGCTGAACTACTGACCTTCCACAGCCTGTAGTTCAGCGTCTTAACCACTCGAGCCACCGCAGCTCCTGGGGAAGCTTTAATCCCCCAACATCCTTTTTTTTTTTTTTTTAGATTTCAGATTTTTCTGCAAACTTGGAGCATCCTTCAGGTTTATACAGAAATCCTGCCTATCTGTCCTTAGCTCCATTTTGCAGATCTATTGATCCACATTATGGCCTGGTTCAGAATTAAATATATAACCCGTGGGGGGGTCTGCAAGATCTTGGAGGAGGTATTTCATTTTCCCCTGTATCTTAGTTCCCCACTATTTCTGCTTTCCCTTCCCTAGCAGCCCCTATAAGCCTTTCCCCTATCACTGCTTCCTTTTTATTTCTTTATTTATTATCATATTTCTATCCTGCCCTCCCCGCAAATGGGCTCAGGGCAGCTCAGGGCGGCTCACAGACCCACCCACCAGCCAACCTACCATTATCTGCCACCTTTCCCTCAGCCTTACCCCCGAGAAAAGTCTGGCCAAGTTACCTGGTGGCCACCAGTGCAGGGATGAGCCCAGTTACATAATGGCCAGCGGTGCCAGGCTGGTACTGGCCCAGTAGCATGGTGGATGCCAACAACCCTGGGCCATGTTGTGCTATGGCCATCACTGGACTGGGCCCAGTGGTGAGGTAGCTGGTGTTGAGTCAGACACAGTGTCACAGTGACTACCATTGCCAGGCTGGGCCCATATGCACAGTGAGCAGGCTCAGCCCAATGATACTGCGGGCCCTAACGGGCCTGCTTCTTTCTGTCCTTTCCACCCACCATCCAATCTACCTTTATCTGCCCAGTATCTTCAGGTTTCTTTCCTTCCGTACTTCTGACAGCCCTTCCCTGGAAAACATAAAAACATGAGAAGAGCCCTGCTAGGTCAGACCAGTGGTCCATCTAGTCCAGCATTCTGTCTCACACAGTGGCCAACCAGTTCCTCTGGAGGGCCAACAACAGGGCATAGAAGCTGAGACCTTCCCCTGATGTTGCTTCCTGGCTCTGGGATTCAGAGGTTTCATGCCTCTGAACATGGAAGTTCCCCTTAGTCAACATGGCTAGTCACCACTGATTAGGATTACCAGGTCCCACCTGGCCACTGGCAAGGGAAGGGGGATTGGGTTGCCTGGTCCCGGTTGGGAAGCTCCTGGAGATATGGGGACAGAGCCTGGAGAGGGCAGGGGTACAGTGGGGTACAATGTCATAGAGTCCACTCTCCAAAGCATCCATTTTCTCCAGGGGAACTGATCTCTGTAGTCTGGAGAGGAGGTGTATTTCTGGGGGATCCCCAGGTCCCACCTGAAGGCTAGCATCCCTATCATTAATAGACCAATCTGCCATGAATCTATTTAATCTCCTTTAAAAGCTATTTATTCCTGTGGCCATCACTACATCCTCTGGCCATGAATTCACTCTCTTTGTAGAGAAGTATGGCCAGGCCTCGTTGCAAGGTATTCTGCACTGGAGCTACGCTTACCAACCTCCAGGTGGGCCCAGAGATCTCTCAAAATGACAACTGATCTACAGGCTACAGAGATCACTTCCTCAGGAGAAAATGGCTACTTTGGTGTAGGGTTGCCAGGTCCTACCTGGTATCCGGCGGGGGGCTCCCGGATCCTTCCCAGGATCTTCTGCCATGTGCGTGAAGCATGCAGGGCAAGATGACATCACCCAGAAGTGACATCATCATATCGTTGATGTCAGGTGTGACACTATAGCTTTTGGGCCAAACTCTATGAGGTTTGCCTTCAAAACCATAGAATTTGCCCAAAAACTGTACTGTCAACCCCCTGACATCAGTGATCTGATGACATCACTTCCAGGTGATGTCATCGCATTGGAGATGTCGCCCGGTGATGTCCCTGTTTGTGGGTGGGGTGGAGACTGGCAACCCTATTTAATGGTAAGATTTCATCCCAAGTTCCCAAAACTGTAATATTGACCATGTGATGTGGTCTCATGACACTGGGAGTTGGTCCCTCCCTACCAGTAGCCATTGTTGATAGAAGAACTTGCAACATGGTGATCCGACCTCATGCAGTGAGCATTTGCAGAAGAGGGCTCCCCAACATGGTACCTGTGGGTTCTACGGCACCTGCCAGCACCTTTCCCAGTGCCTGCCAAATGTGTTTTTTTAATGAAATAAGCAAGGCCAGATGGGACTTTTGCCCAGCAGGGCTTCTGATGGGCTGTGCAGGTTTTTTTGAAGTTGCTTTGGCATTAACTGGGGGAGTGGAATCAGTGGAATCATGTTGGCGGTGGAATCAGCTGCCTGGGGATGGTGGTGAGCTCCCCCTCCCTGGCAGTCTTTAAGCAGTGGCTGGACAAACACTTTTCAGGGGTGCTTGAGGTTGACCCTGCATTGAGCAGGGGGTTGGACTAGATAGCCTGTATGGCCTCTTACCACTCTGTGATTCTATGATTCTGTTCTAGTGGGGTAGAGGTAGTTGTGAATTTCTTGGTGAGTGGGGGGAGGGGAGGTAGTTGTGGATTTCCTGCATTACGCAGGGGGTTGGATGACTCTTGAGGTCTCTTCCAGCTCTATGTTTCTTTGATTCTATTATTCAACTGCCACCAAAACCAAAGGATCTTCACTGTGTGACTGAAAGTAAGCTGTGTGTATGCAAGGAAGTACTGTAAAGCAATATGTTCATTCAAAAAGGCATCCTGTTAAACAGCCCTCTGCCTGACATGTTGAAAAGTTGCTATCAGAGTTATGCATAACCGCAATCCCTGACATTTTGTGGTTGGCTCTGCCTCCTGTGATAGCCATTTTATGGTTGCACTCACCACTTCGTTTCACAGCTTCAAAGGTTCCTGCAAGCTGGAAAATTTTGGAGACCCCTGCTGAAGACCTTTCAGCTCAAGGGTAAAAACCCACCAAAAGGAGAGAGCTGGGGTGAAGATAAGAGAGAGAGAAAGGAGGAGGCCATAGGGCAAGGAAAGTCGTCTGCCCACTGCCTACAGTACGTTGGGCCAGGCCCATAGCCAATGCTCCCTCTAAGCTGTGGAGTCTTGTGAGCAAAAATTCTACTTTGTGAACTACCAGCATTAATATTGTGAACAAGCAATTTGGCTACTGCATAAA